CAAATGAATTAAACAGTTCTCGGAAGCATAAATGGCTAATAAGCTCATAAGTTCAACAGTCTCAGCCATAAGAGAAATGCAAATCAAAACTAATTCCATCTTACCCCAGTCAGAATGGCTATTATCAAGAAAACAAACAAGGAATGACGACACAGATAGAAATCTCTCATATGCTGGTGGTAGATATATAAACTAGTACAACTACGGAAATCAGTATGGAAGTTCATAAAAAAGCTAAAAATGGATCTACTTCATAACCCCCACACCTGGTATATATCCAATGTACATCAATATACACAAAAGACACCTTAAATACTCATCTAATCATCTAGCTGTAGTAAACACTGTTCAAAAGCCAACCTGTGGAGTCAGCCTAGATGCCCAACAACTGATGAATGGATAAAAATATGCGATATAGGCACGATGGAGTATCATTCAGCCATAAAAAGAATCAAATTATGCCATTTGCAGAAAAATGGATAAAACTCAAGATCATTATATGAACAAAAGTTAAATTAACTTGGGCACATTTCCAACAAAATAAACATGGTGACCTGATCTCTGGACCTAGAGTGCTAAATCTTTAATACTACCTTGTAATAAAACAAAGAATGTGGAATTTCAGCTTTTTTTTGCTCTATTTGCTTCATAAAGATAGCCTAGTTCTTTAGGAGCTAGCATCTGAATATCAAAGCTTCACCACAATGGAAGTGAGGGAAATCATTGAGCTGCCTAAGACAGTACTTGACAGCAGAAGCTTTCATTCTTTTTTTTTCTTTTTTTTTTTTATTCTGAACATACTGTACAGAGGGGTTACAATTACATGGGCAAGATAATGAGTACATTTCTTATCGAGCATTGCAGCCTCCTCCTTTGTCTACCCTTCACATCCCTTCCCAGCCTCCCCCCACCCCCCCCCAACCTATCCTCCCCCTGCCCCCCACTAAAGTTGTAAAGTTCGTTTTCAACATGACAACTTGTATTTCTCATTGTTGCAACAGGTCCACCTGTATCCTTATTTAAACGACTTGTTTTTCCCCTTCCCCTCCACAAATTATACCGACATCAAATATAGTGAAAGCAGGGATTATACTGTGGGGGAGGGACATACAAAGCAACAAAGAAATAATCTTAAAAATGCGTTAGAAACAAATGCATGAAAGAAAGAAGTGAAGGACCTCTATGATGAAAACTTTAAAAACTTGAAAAAGGAAATCAAAACAGAACTTAGAAAATGGCAAAACCTCCCATGCTCCTGGATTGGAAAGATTAACATCTTGAAAATGGCAATACTTCCCAAGGCTATCTACAAATTCAATGCGATACCTATCAAAATTCCAACCTCATTCTTCAAGGAAATAGAAGAGGCAATCCAAAAATTCATATGGAACAATAAAAGACCCCGAATAGCAAAAACGCTCCTTAACCGAAAGAACACTGCTGGAGGAAAATCAATACCAAATTTCAAACTCTACTATAAAGCCATAGTAATCAAAACAGCTTGGTACTGGCACAGAACAGACCTCAGGACCAATGGAATAGAACTGAAAACCCAGAAATGAACCTACAGACCTATAGCCATCTAATCTTTGATAAGGAAGCTAAAAAAATAGAATGGAAGAAAGACAGCCTCTTCAGTAAATGGTGCTGGCAAAATTTATTAACTACTTGTAGAAAACTAAAGCTAGATCCTTATATATCACCCTGCACCAGAATCAACTCCAAATGGATCGAAGCTTTCATTCTTATTCAGAGGTCTAAGCAAGTTCTCTGCAGATTCCTTTTTTTTTTTTTTTGCCGGTCATGGGGCCTGAACTCTGGGCCTGGGCGCTGTCCCTCAGCTCTTCAGCTCAAGGCGAGCACTCTACCACTGGAGCCACAGCACCACTTTCGGCTTTTTCTGTTTATGTGGTGCTGAGGAATCGAACCCAGGGCCTCATGCATGCAAGGCATTCACTCTACCGCTGAGCCACCTTCCCAGCCCTGCAGATTCCCTTTTAATATTAACACAGAGAGACGGATTTAAACAAACGATGCTGGAGAGGCTGGAAATGTGTGGCTCTAACCTCAGCTCTGGCATCAATGCCCTGGGGGTTTCACCTGAATCATCCAGTCCTTGGAGCTGCCTAGACCATCCTGGTTTAAATGATCTATTAGCACAACTCACAGACTAAGCACAGCTATTCTTTTTTCTTTTTTTTGGTCCGGTTGTGGGGCCTGAACTCTGGGCCTGGGTGCTGTCCCTCAGCTCTTCAGCTCAAAGCTAGCGCTCTACCACTTGAGCCACAGTGCCACTTCTGGCTTTTTTCTTTATGCTTATGTGGTGCTGAGGAATCAAACCCAGGGCCTCAGGCATGCAAGGCAAGCGCTCTACCACTGAGCCACCTTCCCAGCCCCATCACAACTATTCTTAATGCTGTGATTTAATAAAGCAAAAGGGTACAGAGGACAGGTGACAAAGGAAACTGGTGGCTGGGCAGAGAGAGTCCAAAGGAGACCAAGCACCAGCTTCCTAGACACAGGGAGTCACATAGCATAGTTTTCATTCACCCAGTTTAATGAGGTGCTGTCTAGCAGGAAAGCTGCCTAGAGACTCAGCACCTAGGATGTTTAACTACATACTGAAAACATGCACATGCGTCCCCTGAGTTGTACTCGAATTCCAGGCTCCCAAAAGGAAAGTAGGTACACAGACTAAACAGCACTGTGTTGACAATCTGGACACAGTAGTAATCCTCTCCCATCTCACTCTTTGGGAGTTATCCAAGTTTCCAGACACAAGCCAGGAGCCAGTTTTTCTAAGGAAGGGGTCTCAAGGCTGCTTCAGTAACTCTTTTCTCAACTCAAAATTCTCCTAGAGCGTGGTTTCACAATGTGATCTCCCTCTAATTTGCTACTTTGCTCTCCTTTCCTTCCCACAAGGCAGAGGAAACCTCTGTGCAAAATGGAAACTGTACTGTTGGTAGTCATGGCCTGGGGCCACCATGAGCAACATATAGCCTGTTTGAGACCACTGCGGAGTAGGTATCACTTGCTCAAGGCGTTTTTCCAGGACCAATGCTGATTTCACTCTTTGAAACCTCACCCTCTTACTCATCTGTGCCCTCTAGTTTTCCAGAGACCATTAGTGGCTCTTTTTCCTCTTAAGTGCTCTCGCCACATATTTCTTCAGAGATCAGAATGCTGAGGTCCATCAACCACAGAAATAACACACAGGCCAGGTGTCCCTTATGTGATATGATAGGAACCAGAAGCACTTCCAGCTTCAGTTTTCCTGAACTCAAGAATATCTTGGAATAAATAACATCAAATTAGCCAGACCCCAAAGAAATTTAGGCCCCATAATTTCCCTCATTTGCAATAATTAGCATATGTATAGGATAATTTTATCAGATGAGCAGAAAAAGCTCAAAAGCTATGTTCATCTGACCATATAAGATGATGCTAAATGAAATAAACCCCAAGATATGGACACAAGAGGTCTTTCCTTGTTGTTGTTTTAAATATACTATGTGATTTTTTTTTTTGTTTCCTTTGTATGCTCTTCCCCCTAGGGTATATCCCCCGTTGTCACTGTACTTGATTTTGGTACCCTGCATCTTGTATATACATGTGTCTAATTTGGAGAGAGGAAAGGGAATAACAAAACGCTGAAACAAGGACAAAGGATGACCCAGTGCAACAATGACACCCACAAGAGAGTACATTTGAAATGAACTTTTACAGTTTCGGGGGGACAGTGGGGTAGGCAAGGGGGGTGGGGGGGAAGGGATAGTGGGAGGATTAGGGAAGGGATAACAATGCTCGCCAAGTAATATACTCATTGCCTTATTAATATAACTGTAACCCCTCTGTATAGCATTTTTACAATAAAATAAAATTCAAAAAAAGATTATCTGCTGTGAGCTGAGAAAAACTTGCAGACTTCAGATTATGGAGGATTTCAGATTTGAGGATTGTCGATTAGAGATGCTCCATTCTATCCTCATAGATCACCTTTTGTTAAATACATGAAAGCAGTGCTATTCCCATCTAGTTCTCTGATGCAGAGCACAGGGGGCCATGGTGAAAATAACAATGGGGTAAGGTCTGACTTTCAACAAGGAAGCACAGCCCCGTTCACTCACTCACAGAACCCCCATGTTAGAGTCTAGGGCCCACTTCCAGCCCACCAATCTCACCAACTGTTTCAGTAGCTATGCCCTATCCAGATGCCCAGGACTCACTCTCTTTCTTGGAAAAGGGCAGAGAAGATTAAAAAGGATTCAATCTTGGCTCAGACTCTTACGAGCTGTGAAATCTGTATATCTGGGCCCCTGCAGGTCTTCTGAACACAAGGACAGACAAGCTATTCTATGAGTTATTCCCAGTCTGATTGCCTAGCAACTTCAAGTTGCTTTTTCTCTTACAGGAATAACATGAATCCATGTGTTTATACTTTATTTGGTACTAAATTGATATTCAACTGTTTCCTGGTTTTTAAAATCCTGACTGTAAGAAAGAGTGATCTGTGGACTCAAGGTGTCTTGGGCATCAGCTTCTACATCTGAAAATGACATGACTGAGCAGGAAACATTCACAATGTCTTTCAGAACTATTATTCATGTTATTCCTTTCTAGCAGACACATTCGAGAATAGCTTTCCTTTCCAACAAATATATTGTAAACATCTACCATGCTAAGTGTTACACACCTAAGTGCTGTGTGTAACAAGAGGTAGACCCAGAGAAAGGGTGAATGCTTCAACATCATTGCTTTTAAGGTACTTCTAAAATCAGCCTGTGGCATGAGGTCAGACCAAATGTCTGGATGAAAAAGTCTTACTTCTAAGGTAATGGAACAGGAGGGGTTGGTCCCTGAAGTATGGTATGAAAAAGATCTCCAACCACCAATCCTCTGACCATGCGTTCTATGAATAAAATGACCAGATCAAAAGTAGTAATACAAACCAAGATGATACCTAAAAAAGAATAGGAAAACAGGAAGAAGTATGAACTCACCGGGACTGTGGCAATCCTTTTTTACTGAGATCTGCCCTCACACGTTCTCCTACATGTCTGTAAATTTCCACTAAGCTGTTTATTGCTGCATCTCGAACCTAGATGTAAAAGAAGAGATCTTACAGCTGCTCTGTGTCATTCCCAAGCACTTCCTGCTGAGACACACCAGGCTATATGCCACCCCATTTTACCACCAATTTACAAACACTGTGAATGCAATCTCGTACACAATGGACTAGGCAGACACACTGGAGTTTTTATTTGGCTAATAAAATCCCATAAGGCAGAAAAGGCCCAGGTTCTTACCCTTCATTGGTGTTAAAATCCATATCCCATTCTTCTCATTGCTTAGGATATGATGTCAGAAAACCAGAATTTGCATACCATCTTTCCAAAGTTATAAGGAAAGGAGGTTAAACAGTTCCCCAGGTAACCCCAGCCCCTTGGAAAGATCCAGTTTACTCATTTAACCCTAGGGACAGAAGAGTTCAGGAAGCACAGGCTGTGCTGGAGGGGAGCAAGGTCCTGGCAAGGCAGTGGTCCACACCTTTCTGCTCCCTCTACATCCTGAGTCTGCTAGTCTCTTTCTGAAGATCTACCTGTCTTCCTGGGAACTGGCAACATCTGGACCCAACCAGAATTATCTGTTGAAAGAAACCTTTGCGGGTACTTTCTGTTTATCCAGGACCATCTTTCCTTCCCCGCTCAGACTTTAGCTCCTGTAGCCACAAGCAGGGAAAATGTGCTTCTTATGAGATGCTGAGCAAAGTTACAAAGTGGATATTTAAAAAGAAAAATAATTCTTTGCAATCCAAATGAATGAAGATCACTTGAAACATTATGTAATGGTTAGTTTTTTAGTACTGGAGAAGAATGTCAGGCCTCATATATCTCAGGTAATGTTTATTTTATTTTATTATTAAGTAGTTGTATCTTTTTTTTTCTTTTTTTCCTTTTTTTTTGGTCGGTCGTAAGGCTTGAACTCTGGGCCTGGGCGCTGTTCCTCAGCTTTTCAGCTCAAGGCTAGCACTCTACTACTTGAGCCACAGCACCACTTTTGGCTTTCTGGTGGTTTACTGGAGATAAGAGGCTGACAGACTTTCCTGCCCCAGGCTGGCTTTGAACCATAATCCTCAGCTTTCTCAGCCTCCTAAATAGGTAGGATTACAGCCATGAGCCACCGGCGCCCCGCAAATATCTTTTTAAATAGGAACTTTTGGTATTCTATAATACACTGGGACATGATAAATTATACAGGACTCTCGGCATTCACACATGGTAAGACCAAAAGAAATATTCTTAGGGGAGGAACACAAAGGCACAATGTGTATGTGCCTCTGATCATATAAAATAATATTGATTGAAATAAACTCTAGCAAATTGAAACCAAAAAAAAAAAAAAAAAGCACGCCTAAATGTTTGCTAAAATGTGTTTGGTGGCACTGGCACTATTGGGCTGGACTGCAGGGGGATGGGGAGCTGGAAGAGAGGGAGGGAACCAAGGGGGAAACTCTAGCAGTGAGTGAGAAACAATGAGGGCCTAGAATAGAAGGGGGGAAAAAAAAGAAAGTTCTGTCTATCAGAAAGTTATGTGAATAAATTTGGGGCAAAGGAAAATGGGACAAGTGGTGAAAGGGGAGGAAGAGGAGGTACAAATGGACAGGGAAGGGAAAGAGGAGGAAAAAGAAAAAAGATCATAAAGAGAAAGGGACAGCCTGATTTTGCTAGGAAGGGCAGGATTTCATCAGATCTAGATGGAATGTGGCAGGTGCTAGGTTTCTAATGGGACACTTGAGCAAAGGCACCAAAGTAGGGACATACGGTATATGTTTCAGGAATGCCAGGTGCAGCACTCTGGGCAGACACAAATATGAACTAAGAACGTAGCACAAAAGACATTTGAGAGGATGAACATTTTTCTTGAAGAAACCTGAATGTGGACTATGTATTAAACAGTGTCACTGTATCAATGTTAGATTTGTTTCTTTTTTTTTGGCCAGTACAGGGGCTTGAACTCAGGGCCTTGGCACTGTCCCTGAGCATCTATTGATTAAGGCTAGCACTCTACCACTTGAGCCACAGCATCACTTTCAACTTTTTCTGTTTATGTGGTGCTGAGGAATTGAACCCAGGGCTTCATGCATGCAAGGCAAGCACTCTACCACTAAGCCACATTCCTACCCTAGATTTCTCATAGATATAGTAAAATCACATGTAGTTATATAAGAAAATATTGCTATTAGATGATACACATTTCCAAGAGTAAAAATATATCTGCGTATTACTTCAAATAGCTCAGAAAAAAGTCTATGTCTTCTGCTGGTAAGTGGTTCACTGAAATCACAGCTACTAAGGAGATTGAGACCTGAAGGATCATGATTCAAAGTCAAACTAAGCAGAAGCATCCCTGAGACTCCTTACCTAATTAAGCAACAAAAAGCTGTGCTTAAGCCCGGTGCCGGTGGCTCATGCCTATAATCCCAGCTACTCAGGAGGCTGAGATCTGAGGATCACAGCTCAAAGCCAGCCCAGGCAGGAAAGTCTGTGAAACTCTTATCTCCAATAAACCACTCGAAAACCGGAAGTGGCGCTGTGGCTCAAGAGGTAGAGCACTCGCCTTGAGCTGAAAAACTGATGGACAGAGCCCAGGCCCAGGCCCAGAGTTCAAGCCCCATGACCAACCAAAAAAAAAAAAAGCAAGCTGTGCTTGAGGTGTGGCTCAAGTGATAGAGTGCCAGCCTTGCATAAAAAGTAGGATGCCCCAGTGGTGCCAGGAGAAGAAAAACAAAAGTCTATGTCCGTAAATGTATGTCCATGTATACAAACAGAGGCAATAGATGAGACAAAATGTTAATAATAGCATTCATAATACTACTCGATTTTTCTGAAAGTTTAAAACTTTGCAAACAAAAAGGAAGAATTTTAATAGAGAATGGAATGAAAGCTAGTACTGTTGCACGGGAGGTGTCATTAACTCAATAGGCAGAGATGGGGGAACAACATGAAGGAGACAGAGGTGGGCTACAAACAATTTACAGCTGGAACACTGCAGGCTACCCTTTGATTTGCAAGCATCCTATGATAGGTAACCTTACCATACACAAGCCATACTGTCTCCTGAAACCTTATGCTATGGACTAATCTGTACTCACAAAATCCAAATATTGAGGCCCTAAGCCCCAATATGTGGAGATGGAGGTATGTGGATGAGGGTAATTGAGGATAAAGACGGGCATAAAGGAGTACGGCCCTGAAATGAAAGGAGTAGTAAGCTCAAAATAGACACAACAGAGCTGCACACCCATGAAGAAGTCATAAAGGCTTACAGGGTGAAGGCAGCTATACACAGACCTGGAAGAAACCCCCACGCCAGAACCCTACTGTATCTGGGACTCTGATCTCACACTTCCAGCCTCCAGAACTGAAAGAATATACATCTCTATATATGCCCCCATACAATCTATGTTACTTCATAAGGGTAGCCAGAGTTGACCAACAGAGAATATCACTTTATTTTAGAAAATATATCATTTCTAATATCAAGAAACATTTCACATAGAAACATGACTAGATTACAATGGTAGTGTAATATGTGCACTGTGTCTAGGCACAGCGTACCATCTCTGATTCCTCTATTGATAGCACCTGCTCAGCAGCTGGTGGAGGCCTCTGAAGAACCATCAGTATCAGCTACTAAGTAGTCTGGGCAATGAGCAATTAAATGAGAGAATTACAAGCTCCAGAGTCAAGGGAGACCTAAGACCCTAGTTGGCCACAAAGGATGCATGTGACCTCGAAAAAAACACTTCACTCTTAGTCTCAATGTCCTCTGGAAGCTAAGGGCAGCTCTGAGAAGTAAAAGAAATAATGAGTTCATTCAACAAATATATGAATGCTTTCTAGGTAAAAATGAACCCAAATGCCTACACATGGCAAGTAGACCATAATAAGAGAATGGAGCAGACATGTGTAAAATGACATGGAAGAGACTCTCTGACTCAGAGCAATGGGAATGAGGAGGTGCAGACATACAGGCCCCTGCCCCTCAACTCAATGACTGGTCTTCTCTACATCTTATAAGGTAACTTCTTGGCCTATAAAAGAATTATTCCTCAAACTTAGAAAACTTAGAAGTAGTACAAATGAGCAGATTTTCTTTGGCACATCAAAGTCTCATGCTCCAAATGTGAAGAGAAGGTTAAACAAAAGTAATGCAGTAGAGAACTCTTAAGGCACAATAGCTGTAGCACATTGGCCTTACACTGGCTCTTCCTGATAAGCCCTCAGGCTCATGGCAAAAGGGAATCTCAAAATGTGAAGCCATTAGGGCTAGAAAGATAAGTACTTCATACAGGAGGCACTACTTGCCAAGACCACCTTGAGTGTTTTACAGAATCCAGAGTAGATAATGTATGATTATGCCCTTCTTTTCCTCCCTTTCTCTTTCTCTCCCTCCTTCCCTCCCTCCCTCCCTCTTCCTTTCCTCTCTCCATCCCTCATAGGGCCTAGTGGGACACAGGGAAGGCCAGGGGACTAGAGAGTTGAGACTCCTGCTCTGGGGCCACTGATGCCAATGAAGAGCTAAACTGCCATATTTCAGGGCACAAGCTCATGCCTTCTCCCATGAGCAGACTGCATCTCAACACAGGTTGATGTGAGGGCTTCCTGTGAAGTAAAACCTCACTGAAGGCTTCAGCCCCAGGCTGAGGGACAGGAAGCTGGTCTATACACTATACAGAATCTAGCCTAGTCATTCTAGATGCCCAGTTCATCTGATAGCCAGCTGCTTCAGCCAGTAGTGCCACAAGGCCCTGGTCTCAGCAAGGCCAAGCCATAGCACAGGTAGCAGGGCAGCGCAGCACAGATACTCTACTAGCCCTGGCAGAGCTTACCATTGAACACATACGATGAGATCTTTGAGGGTATTCCCAAAAGGAGAAGCCCCAAGGACAGGGGCAACCTGTGTGCTGCCTAAACCTGGCTGAGGAGCCAAGATCAGAAAGCTGAGGGTTATAGGGCAGAACAGAGGCTTTCCTCCCATCATACAGGTGGCTAGCTGCATTTGCTCCTGGCCTGGCCTGTTCTCACTGTCAGCACTTCAGGAACAGAAGCCTGCTCTCTGTAGCATGTGGCCATCACAAAGCCCTGGCCCCCTACTAGTGACTGGGAATTTAGGCTAGTGTGTGACTGTTTGCAATGCCACATTATAGAACCTAAAGGAGTACTGCAGAAAGGGTACCTCTGCAGTACTGCAGGAAAGTTACAGGAAAGGAACCCAGGGATATGAGAGAGTGACTGCTTCCAAAAAGACAGTTACTAGGATTTGAAGTCTGGCCTTTTCTGGTTATTTTAGAAATGGAGTCTCATGAGCTTTTCTGCCTGGATTGGCAGCAAAGCACAAGCCCCTGAACTTCAGCCTCCTGAGTAGCTAGGATTACAGGTGTGAGACATCAGCACCTAAGCTGAGTTAGACATTTCTTAGAGACTCTTGGAGTAACTTCAAAGACAAAAATATCACTGTTTCAAACTTCTAAATGTTAACATTCTACTCCCAAACCACTCTCCAAACAGACATGAAGTCTGGGACCTTCTAAACAGAGAAAGGCTGACACTATCCATCAGTGTGGGGGTGGGGGGTGTCCTGGGATAGCAAGATGTTTCCCTCTCCACGTCAGATGTACAGACCGAACAGGACACATCAGCTAGGTCTGCAGTAGGACTATACCAGATCTAGGTCCTGCCTCTGGATTGGGGACGGAGTGGGGGCGTTCACTGTCACCACACACTGTGGCTTGAATGGAGAAGCCTCCTCCCAAGTCTTTTAGAGGATGGCACCCACTTCAGCTACAGAAACAAAGCTGAGAAAATAACAGCACACCAGTAATCTCCCCACTTGCCAAAGCCTAAGCACCCACCTGATAAGGCAGACCTGCAGGAGAAGCTCTCAGTTGTGCGGGGTGGGGGAAGAGAAAGGACAAAAGGGTCAGAACAAGAGGACTGTGTGAATAGGTAACAGAAACATCTGGTGGAACACTGCAGTGGAAGTCCTGGGCCTTCCTAAGTCATCTACTGGACAATGCCATGGTGTGGCCCTAAATGGCATAGCGTGTTCTGTCTGCACAACTCAAGTACACTCACAAGAAGCTAGCTCCCTATTTCCAGGTCTCATGGTTGCTGACAGGCCAGGAGCAGAGATTCACTTCACCTATCTGGCAATCTAAATGATCAATAAAGAACCTCAATGAGCCAAAACAGCTTTTACTCTGTTACTCTGCTCAAGGAACAGGCAGCAGTGACATCCTAACTGTGGCTCCTATAAAGGAAATTTTTTTTCACAGAAGACAAAAACAAAGGCAAATGCAGAGAGGTAAAGGCAAAAAAAAAAATCCAATACAAAAGTCTTCAGAAAAAAATTATTCAGGCCATTTTTTAAATTGATGTTGATTATAAAATAAGATTCAATAAGCAGAAATATCCAATAATTGTGTCTCAGATGTCATGCGCCTTCCATGAAGACTGGGTAAGAGACAAAGGGCAAACAAAGAAGGAAAGATGCAAGCAGCATGCAATACCAGACAGGAGGCGAGAGGCACTGGCTGCTGGACTCAGAGCAAAGACGGGAAGAAAGGACTGACAGGAGAGCAGGTAGGGCCTGGGTGGGGACTGGGTGTAGGGGACCTGGTGTGGTGGCAGGGGGGAGGCTATGCCTGGTGAGGATCAAGTGGAGAAGAGCTGACGTAACATCTTTGAGGGCAACTCAGCCATCGGGACTCTAAAGGGCAATGACTGTTGACCACTTCTACTTTTGTGAACTGAACTGAGTGAGAAAGCCGGATGCCTTGGAAGTCAGGAAGGGAACGTCCCCCAACTCTGTGATGGGTGGCCACAGGGCCAATGCCATGAGATGGTAATACCTGGTGGCCATGGGGCAGATGAGCAACCGTTCTACCTGCACACTAACGAAAGGTGCTTGCTTTTCTTATTTTGCAGTTCAGGTATGATTTGCATATAGCAGAGCTCTCAAGGGTTCAGTTCAAAGATTTTCCACTATGACACACACAAGGGCAGCTACTACCCAAAGCAGAATACAGAAAAGTCTCCTCGAGCTCCTTTTCTAGTCAGTCTTTCCCCCAACCCCACCCCTGCTCTGCAGAGATGGTGGCCAGAGGGGCCTCTCCAGGAAGGCTGCTCTGGATGACATCCACATACAGATTAGTGACTGCCTGGCTCTCTATACAGGAGATGATTTGCTGATGATATTTTATCAGCTAACAGGCAGCTGACACCTTAGGCAATAATCAAGCTCTAGAAAAGTAAGTCCCACCACTTAGTAGGCAATTGAAGAATCTATAAACAGTGATTTCCCCCAGGGACTTTCTTGCTCACTTACCTGGCTATTTGGATCTCCAAGTAAATTACATATATGTGGCACAATCTTGCTTAGTGTTAGAGTATGTGCTCCAGAGCTGAAAAGAAAAGGAGTGCATTATTGTTGGCACAAAGGAAAGAAAGATGTCTCCTAGACTCTACTTGCCCTTCTTCCATGTCCCCAGGGCTCTACAATCTGTGCGCGTGCACGCACGCACACGCGCACGCACACGCGCGCGCGCACACACACACACGCGCGCGCGCGCACACACACGCACACACACACGCACACACACGCGCGCACGCACGCACGCACACGCGCGCGCACGCACGCACACACGCGCGCGCACACACACGCACACACACGCGCGCGCGCACACACACGCGCACGCACACACACGCACACACGCGCACGCACACGCACGCACACACGCGCACGCACACGCACGCACACACACGCGCACACACACACACACACACACACACCCAAGGATCTTTCCATCCCATCCTGAAATAAATGTGCCTTGATGGCCCCTCTGCAGATTTGAAACCCTCCAGTGGCTCTGTGCCTTTAAGGCTGAGCCTGGAGCCCACTTTGCCTTACATAGGCATTAGTCCACATCAGGCCACACACTTCCTGTCCTGCTGGACTCAGGGGCCCCACCCAATTACAGCAAATGGCTGCAGGGTGTCTGACAACATCCAGCCCTGTTGGGGATCTTCATGCTATTCACATACCGTTTACCATCACAGGTATTGCTGCTGCAAACATTCTCAATTTATTATGTTTGTAAAATGGTGTAGAACAACTCTGGGAAATAACCTGGCATTTCCCAATGTGAGTATGTGATAAAAAGAAGTGGAAATGAAATCAGTCAGTTGGGAAGGGGCACAAAGGACGAGGAAGAATGATGGATGGGAAGACTGATGGAGATGCACTAGACACATAAGTGAACACATTAAATTATAAGCCCCCTTTGTGCAACCATCTGAAAAATTTCAAACTATTAACTTTTTAAAAAGAAAGAAAAAAACTGGAAAAGGGCTTTCCATTGCATTCCATACAGAAACGCACACACGCATGTCTGTGACAGTGGGGGGTGGGGGGAACGACACAGAGAACACAACAATCTGAGAGAGCACCATGAACTATACCAACATGGCATTCCATACTAACACCTACTGTTACCACTAGGGGACAGCACCTCCCAGCACATTTCTTCACTACTACCTTTATGCTGATTTCTTCAAAGTAAAGAATCTTTCAAAAGCTTCAGCCAAGTAAAATGTTCAGGTCAGGCCCAGACTTACGCATTGAGTGTTGCAATAAGGCAGAGACAGATGCCTTCTCTCGTGCGGAAATTCTTGTGTTTGAAGCCTCCAAGCATTCTGTCCCATACATACTGCAAGTGACAAAGAATAGGTAAGAAGAGAGACTTTTGCAGCCCTTCGTTCAGTTAGGGGGTCAAAGGAAGGATAGCCTCTTAGCTGGAGCCAAACTGTTCCCATCCCCACCAATCATTTCCCAAAGTCTATTGAGAACTGATGATATAGATGGTTTTCTCAAATACATCCATTAAAATGTTAAAAACTCATACATTTATACAACCGTATTTCCCTAAAAGGGAAGTATAAGTGGTCCTTTCAGGGTAGGAAAGGAAATGCCATGCCATCTACGCCCACTACTCTCTGCCTGGAACAGCTCTCCCCATCACGTACCACAGTCCAGCACCCGCAAGCTCTATCGTCTGCTAACTGTCCTAGGACTCCTAACAGCAGTCAGTGGGACCTTGTAAGTCAGAGATGCATCCGTCCATCCCATAAGGTGCACCCTCATAGCAGACAGGGACTAGGGGTCTGGCCAAACCTATTGGCTCCCCAGACACCACATCTGTCTCTTCAGAGAGCCAGTTACATAAATGAGCTAAAGAACCAAATGGATTGAACTAAGTCCTCAGTACCCAGGTTAAGTCCACTAACATTCAAATAATACTTTTTACTTATTTACCTTTTACTTCTCACATTGGGCAGCACACCGATGTTATGATAATATTCATCTGTAATTCTTCAGCTTATGAGAAATTAAGTCTATGAAGACACACAGTTTTTGCAAGTAAGCACAAACCCTTAGGGCCCAGAATGCTTTCCTTGCCCTACCTGGGGATTAGCAGCTTGATCCATAATCTTTAGCAGCAAAGTTTGGTCTTGTTCCCTCACGGAATCTTTAGCATCTCCCAGTCTGTCTATTAGACTTGGCAGCACTGAAAATCAAAATGGAAATTGGTGAAATGGAAACTGATTCAAGGATCTATGTTCACCTGGCCTAACTGACGTAACTCATTCTAAAATCACCCATCCTTGCCCACAGCTTTTCTCTTCTTGCTGAAATCCTGTGCTTAACCACAGAAATCCACATCCTCTGCATAGGCAACTTGTCTCCTACTTGACCCCACTTTCCTCAGCCAGATCCCAATATGTTCATATTCATGTGGAAATATGATTGGAATCAACACAAAAGGAAACTGAAGAGGAACTGGGAGAGAAGCTCCAGCATATCTTAAGGGTAAAGGAGTAAGGACTTATGGACCAATCTACTGGCATCATGTGCTGTATAAATTGCAGCACATAGATACACACCGGATGGAGCCCTACTCTCCATGTCTGTTCCATACTCTGAAATATGGGGGTCCCATAAGTGCTCCAAAGACTACTGAACAGAGAGCACTTACTTGGTTTCTTGTGAGTCCATAAATTATAGGTGACATACCTAAATAATTCTGCTAACTGAACAAAAGTGAACTCTACTAGAATCTGAAATTACTAAAATTTTCTTTTATGGTTTACTATCTTCCAGAACACACTGACCAGAAAGCAATGGAAAAGGACAAACAAAACTAAAAGAATTAAAGAAATTCCAGCTGGGGCAATGGTTCTGTGGTAGAGCCTAAGAAACTGAGGAGATGATGGAGAATGAGGAAGAAGGGAAGGAACAAGAAAGGGAGGGCGAATAAAAGAAAAATAATAGAGAAATCCTTAATTTAAGGAAACGGTTGAACAAACATTTGCTGTTTGTATATTTTCATCATGAAATATGAAACTTCGATGATGTCTAAATTATCTCAATCTTATGGGATCTGGTTTTTCCTCTTTTTTCCCCGACATATTATTTTCCTTAAAATAATAAGGAGGGTATTCTCAGCATGCTTGTAGCAGTGACATTTGCTATCGAGGAGAAAATACTCATGTCAACAACCATCATCTCAGTTTTTTTTTTTTTACAGGACTTCTCAAAGAAAATTGCCAAGCAATAAGGAAGGGTTTGGGTCATTCATGACTCAGTACTAAAAGCTGAAGGCTGATTTCCTGTATAAGACAAATAGGTAGCAATGCTTGGCATTGGAACACAGTTCCACCTTAACCCTTAAAGGCTGGAAGAAAGCAGTAGTGACCTGCAGTCAGGCTACAGCCCAGGGCTGGGGGGGAGCAGAGGGGAGGCGGCCAGGCTGAGGGCAGGCAGTCTACACACCGCTCACCTGTGCCTATCTGCGCTTTGAATCGATCTTGCAGCCGGGTCACCAGGGCCGACAGGATGTCCATGCCCAGCAGAACCACCTGCAACGGAAAACACCGGAGGCGCATTAGGTACAACCCGGGGCCGCGGCCGCCCACACGCGAGGGGGAGGAGGAGGACGGCCCGCATGTCTGGCCTTTTTAGACTAAACTGAGAAGCAAACAGAAGGGCGATTTGCACCAACAGAATAGTTTACAGTTTTAATGGAAAGCATTCGGTGCGACGGGAGGAGATGAAAAGGGGCCACGGGGCAGCAGCCCAATCCCTAGCGTGCCAGCCAATACAAGAGCGCGGCTTAGTTCCGCCACCCGTCGGCCACGCCCCGGTGAGGGGCGTATGCAAATTTTACTGCAGGCGGCGCGCGGTCTTCTGGGTAACACCAAGCCACCGTTCCTAGGCTCCCTAGAGTCTCAAGGGAGATTAAAGATTTAGGTGGTTAGAGTCAGGAACGGAGATCGCTGGAGATACTAGCTACCCAGCAGGTTAGGATGGGACCTAGGAATTAGTCGCCACAACCTAACATAGCGTTGGCGCTACTTGCTTGCAGCGCACGCATGCTCGCCCGCAACCATCCTTTTCTTGGGGTTGCGCTACTGTCCGATGAGCGTCTAGCGAGGGCAGTACTGCTAACACCTAAACAACACGTTCGCATCAGCTAAGGCTTTGCTTTATCTTGGTGCAATTTTTGGAAAAAAGAAAATCCTCTTTTTCCCCGCCTCGCGTGTTTTAAGAGCAGCAATCTTGAGTCTGTTATATATGTCTTCTGCAGTGCTCTGCTTGCCCAGGTGGGGGCGCCGAAGACACAGTAAGTAAGCTGTCGGTCAGGCTTCATAACCAACCCCCCATTCTTCTACGCAACTACATACCGACTCGACCAGAGAAATGTGTGAACAGAGCAGTTAAAGCTTACAGGCCGCGGACTCCCGCTTGTGTAGGAAATAAACCCACTGCTTCCAAATCCATTCAAACTTCAGGGCGGTACAAGGCAGTGCCCTTACTTGGTAATAGTACTACAGAAAATAACTTTTCACTTCTTTAAAATAGAGATTTTAAGCCGTTTTTTTAGAAAAATTCCTCTGGTTTTTTAAATGATTTTACCTTCGAACTAAAGAGCATTTAGTGCTCGACTTCCTTCCAAGTGTCCAGTATGGAAGAGGGAGGAGCGATTCTGCAGCGGAGAAACCTGACAAACGGCCAGATGACCAAGGTCAGCACGGTCAATCACAACCACACTAGTGATGGATGCTTCATAGACTGGAATTGCCAAAGGCACCTGGTATGCTCGAAATAAAAAACTTTAAATCCTGAGGCATGAACTCCGAGTCTGGGCACTGTCACCGGGCTTTTGTACTCAGGACTAGTTCTCTACCACTTAAGATATAGCTCCACTTCCAGCACTTTTGGTCGTTACTTGGAGATAAGAGTCTCACAGACTTTACTGCCCCTGTTGGATTTGAACCTCGATCCTCAGATTTCAGCCAAATTGCTAAGATTACAGGCACAAGTCACTGGCACCTGGCAAAATAAACTTTTTTGATGGCAAGTGCTCTACCACTTATGCAATATCCCTAGACCTATATAAAGCTCTAAAATAGGCAAAACTAATCGACAGTAGTGTAAATTGGATAGCAGCTTGGTATGAAGAAAGATTGTCCGTAGAGGGCCTATCCGTGGGAATTACTGGAGTAAGAGAAACATCAGATATTCTCACTGGGTGATGATCACATAAGTATATATTCTTTCAAAAAAAATACCCAGCCAAATTATATATTAAGAGCCATATATTAACTAACTGTATGTACATTTTTGTTTCAATTAAAAAAATTAAGGTACTTAACTCCAAAGCCCATATGCTATATAATAATAATAGAGAAACCCCAATAGACGGCACCTACAAAATACCTGACCTGCAAACTGTCAAAAGTCAAAAACAAGGATAGCTAGAAATTATCACAGCTAAGAGGCACTAATGACAACAAAACAACTAGATACAATGTGGTATCCTGGATAGAATTTGGAGCTCAGAAATATGACCATTTTCCTCACGTAAAAACTTAGGAACCAATGTATGAACTGTCATTAATAATTTAGTTATGCTGGCTCATTAAGTGTAAACCAACAGGCCAACCTCATGTTAGGTGTAATAACAGAGAACTTGATGAAGATCATCTGGGAGGGCTCTGTTCTATCCTGCTATGGGTGACACCCACCGGCAGCAGCAAGCTCTCCAGCATCCCAGAAGGCACATGGGTTATGCTCTGAATGAACTCATACTCAAGAAAGAGAAGACTGCCATGTGGAGGGAAGCATGCCATCAGCCAGGGTACACAGGATACAGCATGGGGAGTGGACCGGGGGAGCAACAGGTGGTCCTCAAAAGAAACAGGTGACCAAAGACAGTGGGGAGCTAGTGAACAGTCGTCAGGGACCTGGGGCTTTTAGCCAGGACATGTGGCCACTGCAGTCAGCTGCCCTAGAAGGAGGGAACGGGGCAAGAAGGTCAGGTGACCATGGCGCACACAGCCATTCGTTTTCACTGCGCCCATAACTCTGCCTGAGCCTTGAGCACCTCCTCCACACGGTCTCTAATTACCTGTGCTTACGGTTAAGTCTTAAAGCTGAGGGGCACGGGGTCTTCCAATTCCTCAAAAGCAAAGTCCATGAATGAACTATCACGCTAGAAGTGAAGCTGTGGCTCACATGGCAGAGCATCAGCCTTAAGCAAAAAAACTAAGGGTCGGCATCCAGGGCCTGAGTTCAATTGTCAGTACTGGCACAAAAACAAACCACTACCACCACCCCTAAGTTTCTTCTATACCTAAGATGATGACCATTGCTTCTCGGCCTTTTGGCTAAGATCAAGTGTAGTATCTGTTCTTATCAGTTTAATATCTGATACGTCCTGCATCTGAGGACAATATATTAAATGGATTTTGGGGCCTCAGGAGATGGAATAGGAGCATGCTCCATCCACTCCACGCATCGACCAGGTAGAAGATGACATCTCAGGGAAGAGCCAGCAGTAAGGCCCCTTTTGCACTAGGTCATATATCCACTAGGAAGGACGCTGATGGTCACATTTGATGACCTGGCTCATCTAGGAGGATGAATGTGAGAATGAAAACCTCTCCCAGGCTGGTAGAGAAGAAACCCCTAGAACTTGGGCTAGACACCCACGTATCTATTCCTCAGCACCTAGGTGACCCAGAAATGCCCTAATTCCTCACATCCAATTAAAATGATCTTGGACCACGTATGGCCTGAAGCCCTACAAAATTAAAACCTAGGTCAGTTCTGGCTGGGGAAAATACTACCCTAGACTAGTACTCAACTTACTTCTGTGAACAGTTTTTCAAAGATAGTATGCAAATCGTGACCAAAGGTAATGGAACGCAGGACAACATAATTAAGAACTAACAGAAACAAAGGCTCACCTGAACTCTGAGTGTAAATAATTAGACAACAATTCTCAAGGTGTCTAAGAAGATAAAACACATGATTCAAATTGGGGAGATAAAAACAGAGTTTGGAAAACTATATAGACTTGGGCGGCGGGGGGGGGGGGGGGGGGGGGGATGGGGGCGGGCAGGGATTGTGGAGGCTATGGGTACTAGGGCTTGAACTCAGGCTTCAGCACTTGTCCCTTAGCTTTTTCTCTAAAGGCTGGGATTCTACCTCTTGAACCACACATCCACTTCCAGCTTTTTGAAGGTTAATTAAAGGTAGAATCTCATGAACTTTCCTGCCTGATCTGGTTTTGAACTTCAATCCTCAGCCTCCTAAGTACTAGAAGTATAGGCATGGAACACTATTACCAAGCTACACAGACTCTTTTAAAGAACCATTTTATACAACAGATAAAGTACATAGGCTGAGCTCTGGTGGCTCATGCCTATAATCCTAGCTACTCAGGAGGCTGAGCCAAGGGTGACAGTTCAAAGCTAGCCCAGGAAGGAAAGTCTGTGAGACTCTAGTCTCCACCAAAACTACCCAAAAAACAAAAACAAAACAGAAGTGGAGTTGTGTCAAGTGGTAGAGAACAAGCCTCGAGCAAAAGAAGCTCAGGGACAGCACCCAGGCTCCAAGTTCAAGCCCTAACACTGGCACCAAAAAAACCCAAAAACTAAAAAAATTAAGTACCTAATGCACCAGGCTTTGTTTAAAGTGCAATGGATACAGATGAAGAGAACATGAAGTAGAAAAGTCCACAATTATCCACAATAAAGCACAGTGAGGCAGAGATGGGAAGTTCAAGAGAGTAGGTAAAAGAAGGGACAGAAACAAAACAACGTAAGACTAAACTGGAGCTGATTGCTAGTGTGGCTCACACCTGTAATCCTACTCAGGAAGATGAGATCTGAGGATCACGGTTCAAAGCCAGACCAGGTAGGAAAGTCTGTGAGATTCTTACTTCCAATTAACCAGCAGAAAACCAGAAGTGGTGCTATGGCTCAAGTGGTAGAGTGCTAGCCTTGAGTGAAAAAGCTCAAAGACAGTGCCCCAGGCCCTGAGTTCAAGCCCCCTGACTGACCAAAACAACAAAAAAAACACAAAAAACTAAATGGAATTGAAAAAGAAGTTAGAGACAACAAGTAAAAAGTAACAGCTGGCCGTCTTTAACATGACTATTAAAAAAAAGAAAAGAAAAGAAAATAACATGTGGCAATGAAAGTGTACTGGGAAACTGTGTGGACTACTAGAAGTATAGAATGGGATCACTGGGAAATATGATAGCTCCTCAAAGCTCAAGCATGTGACCATATGATCGAGAAATTCCATTTCTGGGCATTTATTCAAAGTGGAGAAGGCCAGGTCTTAGCGGACGTTTGGGCACTAATGTTCCTAGCCCCATTCGCTATAACAGCTACAAGTGAACAACCCCAGTGTGTACCAACATTACAATGCAACATCATTTGGTCTTTCAAATAAAAAAAAACAAGTTCTTGTGCAGCAGACACATTATCTACATTTCATTTTCTGCTAGTTTACTTATCCAGTCACCCGTGATAAAAAGTTCCATAAATAAAGAATAAATTTTATG